CTATTCCATTTGGTTGTTTTATAGATCGGTTCGGGTTTGGGAATTTTGGTTCGTTTGTTAATTTGCTCACTCCTTGGTGGTTTAATAATAAAAAGATTTAGATACAAATACTAAAGTTATTTTTTTCTGAATTTGATTTCATTAGAAACACTTTTACTTTCACTTGAATAGTAGAAATAATCATGTTTTAAGAGATTAATGAATGGACTTTCACTTTTTACTTTCACTTGAATAAAACAAATCCATGAACGGACTTAGTCAACAGTTACATTTATTTGAGAGATTAATCTAGTTTCGGTCCCAAAACTTCTTGATTATTTAATTAAGTAAATAAATCCAAGTAGTAGTGACAGAAGCAGACGTCTTCGTGACCAACAAGGTTCACATTCTCTTAATCTAAGGTTATTGCAGAGGTAATTCAACATCCCCATACATTTACCAAACCGATTCCAAAATCTAATCTTTTGAAAGCAGTGATCAACATCTTAACTTAGAGAAAAAAAAAGTCTCAAAAACATTCATAATATCAGACCACAAACAAGTTCCAAAAGTACTCGAAAACATCTTAACAAACAGAAACATAAATCCCTTAAAACATTCATAAGTTTGGACAACAAACAAAACAAGTTCCATTACTTCCTTACATGCTTTACCGAGATCGAAGCTCTGGTTCAGTCGATGGATAACTGCGGACACAGAAGTCAACAAGAAGCTTCGATTCAGCTCCGTAGTATGCAGGGCCACCATGCTTTGATACTTGGACCGACGAATCCATTGCCACTTTGATGAAGGCAAATTTCTTCTTGTGGTATAGCTTAACCTTCGCAATCATCTTTCCCTCCACTTCCTCGACTCCAAAGATAATCACGTCTCTAAGTCCAACATAGCGAGTCATACCTGGTGGGACATGGTGATTAATCTACCACAAAACAAAGATTATCATTAGATCAATGTCACATAAAGAATCTCTAATATTTTTTTTGGAATTTAACAGCACTTACCTTTTCAACAAGAAAATCAGGCTCCGGACTGAACGCATGCATTCTTGCTCCTACTGGCTGTTGCTTCAGTAACTTAAGCACTTCGTCCACATTCATTGCCTCGACCAGTTCTCCTTTCATGGAGACGAGAGCAGGGTTATAAGCAGATGTCGGGGGCTTGTACTGACATCCCAAATGCACCCACTGATCTGCTCTCGGTATCCCTTCTTTCAAAGCAAACAGAAGACAGTCTTTGACAGAGAGTTGCAGCAACGGCGATCTGTTTCTCCCTCCCCGTCTACCTTATTGGGACAAGCGTTATCCAACAAGTACTGAGCTGAGTACTCAGTAAACACACTGTCAAGCTTAAGCTCTAGCCGTGCAGAGCTTAACAGATTTGCCGCTACAACAGCCGCGGATTCAGATGCATCTGCAAGACAACCAATGCATAAGTCAATTCCATTATCTTCTTTCAAAAGATTAGAACCAATTCACAGTTTCTTTCAATATTCAAGATTGATCAGTTACCGTGGTCTTGGCCTTGTCCTGGTTTCGGATCACATGAGTGGAAGGAGAGAGAAACAACGCTATGCCAAGAGCTCGGTGCCATTTACGATTACTTAAACAAGAAATGGAAACAAACGATTTTATCAGACATAGAGCAAAATCAAAGACATTCATAATCAAACACAGAAAGAAGATATTGCTAAATCAGAGACAGACACATGAGCTCAGGTTCGACATAAACCAAACTAATGAAGAAGGATTCAACACAACGAAACCCTAAAAACGTAACTAAAAAAGTTCATCATTTGTTCTCACTAATCGCACTAACAAGGGTAAAGCAAAACCAGAATCCGTAACAAACAAAAGCAATCAGACCGAGAAATGTAATCAGATAATCGAGAAGTTTACCGGAGACTGTGAGAATTCGGAATCGGAAAATCGGAAGCAGAGGTGGGTTTCAGTCGCAATCTCCGTCGCCTTGAGAGAAAATAAAGTTCCAAGCTTTCTCAAGCACCTCGATAACTAAAACCCTAATTCCATTTTTGTTCATCGAGCTAAACGAAACGATGTCGTTTTAGGAGTATCCGGTTCGCGTATGCAGAGGGAAGCAGAACCGGAAAAATACAAAAAACCGTTGAGACTCCGCCACGTGTGTGGTCTACATTCAATATCATTTTCACCACAAAAATTCTGTATTGAGATTTTTATTTCCAGACAAGTTTTTGACTTTTTGTCGAATTTGAGAAATGGAGGTTTCGTGTTCACTCAAGCTCTCATCTCCTTCAATCATCAACCTTCAGGTTTTAGTGTTGTGTGTAAAGAATCCAACTTTTTAAACAAATTCGAAGACTTTTGCCATTAATATTGTGTTTACTTGGTGAAAAATTGTTGCTTTTTTGTAGGGTTCTTCACTACCTAAAGCGTTTCTTCAACTTGATGATAGAAGCAAACGTCTTCGTGACCAACAAGGTTCACACTTTGTTAATCTAAGATCATATAGAAAACGAGTCACTGCGAAATCAGGAACACAAGGTTGGGACTTTGGTAGATTCATCAAAACATTGTACTTCTTCAACGGAGCACCATCTCCTTTAAAGGTATATAAAAGTTTGATTCTCATTGAGGTTGTTTTATAAAAGTTTAGTTATTTGATTGTGTTTTTGTTGCTTGTGAAGTTTGTTGCATCGGTGTTTGAGAAGCTTAGTAACGGATCAATGGAGGAACCTGTTAGTGTAATGGAAACTTCTGGAATCATACTTGTGGCTGGAGCTACTGGTGGTGTAGGAAGAAGAGTAGTTGATGTTCTGAGGAAGAGAGGGTTGCCTGTTAAAGCATTGGTACTACTAATCTTTCGATAGATTTCTCGATATTATTCGGAAAAATATGGGAAAAGTCTTTAGCTTTTGTGTGTAATCTTCCACAGGTTAGAAATGAAGAGAAAGCTAGGAAGATGTTAGGACCTGACATTGACTTGGTAAAGTTTCCACATTTTTTTTTTTCTTGGTGTTCTTTGTAGTTATTAAGATCATTGATAAGTATTTTGCATATTTCAATGTTGTTCAGATTGTTGCTGACATTACGAAGGAGAAAACATTGGTTCCTGAAAAGTTCAAAGGAGTAAGGAAAGTGATCAATGCTGTTTCTGTTATTGTCGGTCCAAAAGAAGGAGATACACCTGAGAGACAAAAATACAATCAGGTTCAAGAATGATTTTTTTCTTAAAGGTTTGTTTTTTTAGATTCTAGTTTTGAGAAATGACGGTTTTTTTGGATACGGGTTTTAAACGCAGGGAGTGAGGTTCTTCGAGCCAGAGGTAATGAGACTTAGAAGAACACTTCTTGAGTTTTTTCGGAAAGTTATGAGCTCAATGTTCAACAATACTAAAGTGTATAGATTTTGGTGATGCACAGATAAAAGGCGACTCTCCCGAGTTGGTGGAGTATGTTGGAATGAAGAACTTGATCAGTGCTGTTAAAGATGGTGTTGGACTTGAGAAAGGGAAGCTTATTTTCGGTGTCGGGGGTAAGTTTGGTCAAGTAACCTTGTTAATCTTTCAATTTGACATATCAAATTTAAAAGTTTTTATCCATGTAATTATGCAGATAACACATTTAAAGATCTACCTTGGGGAGCCTTGGATGATGTTGTAATGGGCGGTGTCAGCGAAAGTAACTTCGTAGTCGATCTAACCGGTGGTGAAAACGGTGGACCTACAGGGATTTTCAAAGGTTTTGATAGTAATAACAACTCTGTTTGCCAATTTTTCTTGTCTTCAGGTTTCATATAAATGTAACATGTTTTGTTAGGAATTGTTTCAACAACAAATAATGGCGGATTTACGAGTGTCCGAACCAAGGTAAAGGGTACGATTTGAATGTGAGAATGTCTTCAATCTTTTATTTGATCTGTTCTTGCTGAAGCATATGTGTCTTTTCTTTTGGAATGTCTCTCAGAACTTTCCCAAGGCTGAGAATCTCTCTGCATATGACGGTCTAGAGCTAAGACTAAAAGGTGATGGACTCCGTTACAAGCTTATCGTCAGGACGAGCCAAGACTGGGATACTGTTGGCTACACCGCTAGCTTCGACACTTCACCAGGCCAATGGCAGTCTGTAAGTAAAATTATTTATTTTCATTTGCTTCATGATTTACTTTTGTGTGTATATCAATAATATTTCCGTTTATTCATAATGGTAGGTACGCTTACCTTTCTCGTCTTTGAGACCTGTGTTTCGCGCACGGACAATGACAGATGCACCGCCTTTCAACTCGGGAAGTATCATTTCACTACAGGTATGTGCTTCTTTTTAAACTGAATGAGTAAGTCTAAAGCAATCCCTAAGTGTCTCTTATCATATTTGCATCTTTTCCAGCTTATGCATAGCAAATTTGAGTATGACGGTAAGCTTAACCCGACTTTCAAAGAAGGGCCATTTGAGCTTCCTCTATCGAGCATTCGAGCTTATATTCAAGAACCCATCACTCCCAGGTTCGAGATTTTAGTTTCTTGTTCTCTAGTAACATTGCTTGGCAATTCGTTTTCTAAGCGGGCTAAATATTACAGGTTTGTTCACGTTGGCTCTGCGGGAGTCACCCGTCCAGAGAGGCCCGGTCTGGATCTAAGCAAACAACCTCCGGCTGTGCGGTTAAACAAGGAGTTGGATTTCATTCTTACTTACAAGTTAAAGGTTTGTCTCTCAATATACTCTCTTTTTAGCAAAACATCACAAGATATGAATCTATTTCCCACCCGTTTCTTATTATGAATAGGGAGAGGATCTGATACGCAATAGCGGGATTCCATACGCGATTGTACGACCATGTGCTTTAACAGAAGAGCCTGCAGGAGCTGATCTCATTTTCGATCAAGGAGACAACATTACGGTATTTTACAAGTTTCCCTCCCCTTGAAACCAAAACACTTTTAAGTTTTAAGTTAACTAACATAACCAACTTCGCCTTTATACAGGGAAAAGTATCGAGAGACGAAGTAGCACGTATATGCATCGCTGCTTTAGAAAGCCCCTACGCTCTAAACAAGACATTCGAGGTTTTATAAAGAATCGAGAATCAAATCAAATTTCGATTTTTTCTGCTTTTCTTGATTTCTCATTTGAGCTAAATTTGTGTGTTTTTTTGTATGTTTTCAGGTTAAAAGTACGGTTCCATTTAGCGAACCATTCACGGTTGATCCTGAGAATCCTCCACCGGAGAAAGACTACAATGACTATTTCAAGAATCTGAAAGATGGGATCACTGGTAAAGAAGCTTTAGAACAGAGCACTGTTTCAGTTTAAAAACCAGGTTTCATCTACTTTTTGTAACTTTCTGTTTTCTTGTTTCAATAAAGATTGTATGTATATTCCATGTATACGGATTTGGTACATTGTAGATTATACAAAAGCTTGTTTCAACGAAAACAATAAAGACTGTACCTTTTGATTCTTGGAGGTTCTTGAAGAATCTGAAATCTCTCTGCCATTTCTTTGTCTGTGAGAATAGTGCCTTGTGGTGTAAGAAAAGCTGTTCGCTGAAACGGTGGAGACCAGATTCCGCTTTCCTGGTAATCGAATTGAAACTCAGAGACATCATTGTACTTCTGTAGAAGTTTGTCTGAAACTGGTTTTGTTACGTTTTGAGTTAAAACAGAGGAAGATGAAGAAGATGGAGATTCAGACATGATAACAAAGTTTAAGATAAAAAAAGATTGAAACTTTTTTTGATTGGAGGGTTTTCAATTTTCATTGAGGAACAGGTTTGATGGAGACTTTTTAAGGTTAATGACAAAATAATGGATTTGTCTGCAAATAATGGAGGATGAGTGGAGAGGAGCAACAGAACATTTGTCTCTCCTTTTTTTTTGGTTTCTTTCCAATAAAAAGATGCATTTTGAAACATATTACAAATTATTGACCTCTATGTTTTTTCTTTTAACAAGAATCATTGAGCTCTTTCACATGGCAAATGTGTATTGTTGTTTTTTTGGTCACATAATTTATTACAAATTACAAGAACAATTTAATGGACGGTTTTAAAACGTACTATTTTATTTTATAGATAGTCTTACATGCATTATTTTCATGATAGACCGTCATTCTCATGATACATGGAATTAAGACGAACATTATTACTTGTACCACGCTAAAAAAATTATGTAAATTTACATCTACTAATTTGGATCGATCGTATCATCTAAGAAACAAACCTCAAGCTTAATATAGAACACTCAAACAAACTTTTGGATAATTTTGGTTAGTTGGCTACAACTACACTCACCTTACAAAATTAGTCGGATGGTAAAAAAAAAATCATATGGATTTGAAGATTGAAATAGTATTTGAGTCCATTGGGTTTCTTTAATATACAAAATCCACTTACTATACAAGGCCACATATATTTCAGTTATTAGCTTGGTGTTCTTGCAAAATTACATCTTTTTGGCAATGCCATTTTTTTCTTAAGATCGAAAATATTATTATTGTAAAAAAAACTTGTTTATTTCGAAGTTGAGAGTGACTAAATGATCGCCGTTTACCAATGTAAACATGACTGCCACCACTTTGGACTTTTTCAAGAAAATGAAAACATTCAGAAAAAAAAAACAATATAGATACCAAAAAACTGAACCAAAAGTCGGATCTACCCCTGTTTCTATAAGGTCAAAAAGCAAGAGAGAAGACAAACGAAGTAAGGGTGTTTTAGTCATTTCCTTACAGAAATTTTCACCCAAATCAATTCAGTGATTGTGGTCCAGCTACAAAGACACCNGTCTTACCCTAAAGTCTCTGTCTTTCTGTAGAAATCCAAATTTGAATCCAAAGAGAAAACGAAGAAATCGAACGTGAAGTGTTCCAATTTCTTGAATCAAAGAGCAAATTCGGGGTTTCTTCTTCTTTCTTTGGTTTAAAGTGTGAATCTTTTGATTGTGTGAGTAAACGGCGTTAATGGCGGGTTACAGAGCAGATGATGATTATGATTACCTTTTTAAGGTTGTTCTAATCGGTGATTCAGGTGTTGGCAAATCCAATTTGCTTTCACGATTCACCAGAAACGAGTTTAGCCTCGAGTCTAAATCAACGATTGGTGTTGAGTTCGCGACTCGTAGCTTGAATGTTAATGAAAAAATCATCAAAGCTCAGATTTGGGATACTGCTGGTCAAGAAAGG